AACATCGTTCCCTGCAGAGAAATGATAATTATAAAAGATATGAAAGGACCATTATATACGTTAACTTTGTTACAAATAATTAAGAGCTGGATTGATTGATTGTTGGTTGCTAAACAAATACTAGGTAAAGGAAGCGAAGTAAACTAATTATAAATTTTAGTTTGTTATCATCATTGAGGGGGGGGGGGGAGGACCTTTTTTCGGGACGTCGGGATGGGGTGTTTTTAAGCTCGGGATTTCGGGATTGATCCTTTCGGGATGCGGGAATTCCTTTTTCGAATTTCGAGATGTCGGGAATTAAATTTCTTTAAATTCGGGACCTTGGGATTTCATGTTTTTAAGCCCTGGATTTCGGGATCAGGACCCCCCCCTCCCCCCTTCATTATTATAGGAAATTAGCACGAAAAAAACCAAAGATCGAAACAATAAAAGAAAAAGAGAAAAACACGGTCAAAATTATTATAAACCGATGAAATAATAAGTTATGACTGACATCGAATTGAATAAGGACCACAACTGTAATACATTCATACATATTAATAGCTTGGGATACTAGTAGGCAGGTACAGAATAAGAAAGTTACTGTTTTAGAATGTTTGTAGGGTTAAAGTCCCTGTCATGCCATTTGGGAGTAGTAAAGAACGATACCAAGATAATGATATATAAGAAGAAATCGACATGACTCACTAGAAGACGATTTTTACACACACACACACAAAAGTTGTACAAAATATTATCTATTAAATATTAAGTTTTTATTGACCTTTCTTTTGACTAGCAAACAAAAATTAAGGCTATTCAAAAGAGATGTTTTATGTCCCGAATAAAACGCAAAATCCATGACCGATCATGGTAACAGTCACGTGGTAACTGTACCAAAGCCGAATTAAAATTGTCAGCGTTTATCCATATCCTGCATTCATGTTTTAGTAACGACATCAAAAGATCAATGTAGGATGAAAAACTTAAATCAAATAGTTTGGGGTGGGAGAGGGGGGGTGTAAAATTGCTGCGAGTTTTGTTTATCCAAAATCGATTTTACATATATCCGTATTTAACAATTAATTTTTCCCAAATTAAGTTAAGAAGGGGGGGGGGGGGGGGGGGGGGGTCAGTGAAAAAACTATGTGAATTAAGTTTTTTATCCTACATTGAACTTTTGATGTCGTCCCTTACTTCTTGGCTTTGTGAGAGCGTCTACCATGTGCATAATACGCTGTCATCATTGCAGAAGTTGAAACACTATGTATTTCCGTTGGTGACCTACATGTAGATGAATGTCCCAATAAAACTATGAAAGAAAGCATTCAAATTTCAATTTAAAAGGAATAAATGAGGAAGTAAAATAAAACAAATCAATAAATCTGAAATCAGGTTTACATGTTATATCTTAAAAATATTGTGTGATTTGGAGAGTGTTATGAACGCCGGGGTTTCATCACTTAACCATCAGAGAAGAAGGAACTAGAGGTTTGAATCACCACAAACTTAAGTCAAACCCAGCATATAATTTCGATATGAATTATTTCCTATACCTGCTGTCGTAAATGATGGTAGCGAGGATTAAATGTCGCTAATGCTTTACCAACTCTAGCCTCAGACACGTTGATTCCTTTGCTTGATAAATGGCCTGTCATCATTTTCCGACCGTATGTGGGTCCAACCTGAAAATAACACACACTATGCGCACATCATACTTTAAATGTAACTACTAGTATATGTTCCATGTACATGATGTATATGGTTTGGAATACGTTTGTGTCGATCTGTGTCGATCTGGTTTTTTTTTTTACTTTTTTTTTATTTCAAAAGAAGATCGTCACTGACTGAGACCCATTTTTTGTGTCGACATATTTGTCCTATAATACTGGTTTTGCGTTCACATATTAAAGATGTAAAATCATATTAAATAAAAGATAATAGAATGTACATAAAACAGAACTTCATGGGAACTGTATTATGTTTGTTGAAATACTATTCACATAATTATGATAGTATTATATTCTTTGCTATAAGAAGTCATTCATCCTTCGAAATATAAATTTACCACACATACATGCATGTAAGATAAATTCATATTTTCTTTTATAAGATGAAGCTTATTTGATATTCTGCGACAGAGAATTGTGAATATAATAAGCTTGGTAATAACAAGTTTGTATTAAACAGAATCAAAATTAGGAAATGCTGTACAATGCAGAAAATATTCGTATACAAATATACAAATTTGAAAACAAATACTAGCGCAGTGATCAGAATAATATAACATCTACACCCACCCCTCCCCCACCCCCACTCCACCCGCGAACCCTGCTCCTTGAACATGCACAGAAACTGACATGGACAATATCTAATAGTCTAATATTTTCCCTTCTTTTCTTACATGTTTGACACATTCAGCCACGATATGGTTTAATGCTCCTTCGTCTACTCCGCATCGCCCAGTAATTCTATTTTCAGAACAAAAACGGGTCCACAATACTGGTATAAAAATTTTGTACCAGTATTGTTACTTTTTTTTAAAAAACAGCAATACTGGTACATTACTGATATACCAGTATTGTAGTTGTATTGTTCACTATACTTTAAGGTGTATAATGAAAAATGAATTATAAGCAAAATTAGAAACTGAAGATCAAAGGGAGATTAAATGACCTCAAAAAGATTATAGAGGATAATTGTGAAATCAATTAACAACCAGTTAAAAATAATTACTATACTTGTACATATAAACAAAAGATTATTGTAATTAACTCATCTTATTCAAACAATTGTTTATTATATAAATAATTGCTAATAATTTTATCATATTTCTATATTTTATTTAATTCAATTTAGATAAAATAAAATAAAAGCTTTATTATCTGAGTTATTATTTAATAAATTCAAGCAAATTATTACACTATAACACTGTAAATTCAGCATTTACATGTATGCCATCATATATTTTTTACAGATATTTTAATACATGTATACTAAGATTCTAAGCATTTGTTTGTCTTTATTTTCTTATCAATCTTTCACAATAAACATGATAAAAGATATCAATATCCATCAAGTGTTGAGAAATGTCTTGGTGTGTTCTTCCGTCAAGTATCATTTGTTGAATCAAACAACGATGGTCTAAAAGTTCTTCCATTTCAACATGTACATGTAAACAAGTGACTTCTTCACTTAGAGAGAACTAAATTAAAGATTTCAACCCCGACAATTCAAAGAAAGAAAAGACAAAGATAAACAAAAGTCAGATGGATAGACAGATAGATAGATACAATGAATGACAGATTGATAGATCGAAAGTTAGATATATACATGTAGCTACAAAGACAGCTAGATATATAGATACAAAGAAAGAATGATTTTTTTGTGGTCATTATCGTACTTGTCAGTGTACCATTCTTGTTTGGAATTAGTTGATACCACACATAGTTCACACACACACACACCATAAAAAGATCTTCGAGATATTGCGCTTAAAACAAGAAAAAAGAAAACGGAAATAGTAAAACATTTAATAAATAGTGTCAACAATTTAAACATTTAAAACACCTATATTGAAACAAATTACATTTCGTTCTCATTATTAGACATTTAAATAATGAAGCAGATGGGAACATTTTTCAAATTTGAATATTGCACAGTAAAATGAAAAATGAAAAATGCTCCACATTGGAGCATTTTTCATTTTTCAATATCAAACGTCAAATTGAAAAATGCTCCACGTTGGAGCATTTTTCATTTTTCAATATCAAACGTCAAATTGAAAAATGCTCCACGTTAGAGCATTTTTCTTTTTTCAATATTGTAAGCCCAATTGAAAAATGCCCTACGTTAGAACAGTTTTCATTTTTCAATATTGTAAGCCAAATTGAAAAATGCTCCACGTTAGAACATTTTTCATTTTTCAATATTGTAAGTGAAATTGAAAAATGCTAAAGGTCAGCAATTTCAATATTTGCTTTTAAGAATGAGATTGAAATATGTTTTGTTTTCTAAAACAAGCAAATACAAATGTGTTAATATATTTAAACTTTTGACAAGATAAAATCATTTTTAACACAAATTTATTGTTATTTGTTTCAATATCTTCGTGAAAATAACAAATTTCAAATCTCATAGAGAAAATGTTTTTTCAAAAGTGACTTCAATAGATTTTTGTTACATTTTTCAAACCAATTAACTTCAAAAGTTGCAGAGCATTTTGCAAAATCTATTTTTTTATTTTAAAATGACAAATGTTTGGCGTTAATGTACACGGACGCTCAATAACTGGAAATTACTTGATTTAAAGAATAGACGCAAAACCGAATTCTGATTTGGCCTGTCGTTATATATCAAAATCTACCGTAAATGGATGGTTAAGACTTTTAAAAATCAAAATCATTAACATTATGATCAGCAGCAGAATCAGCCACAGGACCATCATCTTCAACAGAAAAAAAGCAATTACTTGTAATATTGTAGTCTTGCTGTATTGGTTTGAATAAAGTGAATATATCTGAAACATCCCTAATTACTGACCCGTAATTTATATGAATCACAAACAATGTGATCAGTACCATATATGTTTTTCCTTATCCGTCACTCCATCATTCTGCAACGATTAGTTATACGGACTTAACGTCTTCATATAATTATCCGATTTCTAGTATATGAGTCTTTTCTGCTGATTTTTGAAACAACAGGCTTTGAACTTTTGAAAATTTATCGAAAATAACAGATAAATGGAAATATTTGTATAACGACTTCACATATTGAGCAGATATTTTAGTATGTGAGCTTACTATGGTGACGTACAGATCGAGTGTATGTTTGGTTTCGCTTCTCTGGTTTTTACCGAAATCACTGGCTTTGTGTCTTAGAACAGTTATACGGACTTTCATCTTCAAATTTTGACTCCTAAAAATGCCTTCAGGCTTGTTTTGCTTGCGGGTCTAACTATTCGTTCCGTTCTGAGATATCCAGTTCTCTCTTTTACTCTAATTCACAAACACTAAGACTTACAGTAACTAAGTATTTATTAATCTAAAAAATCAATTATTAAAGCATTTAATTAAAATACACTATAAGGAAAAAAGAACATCGCATTAATAAGCTTATCCACACATTAAAAAAACACAATAACAATCACTCTCAGGTTATGAATGATAATTTTTTGAATGCACTGTTGTACTTTTCCTTTGGAAATAATTCCATAGAATGCATAAATGCCTGTCTTGCTGCTTCTATGTCACCTACCAATTGAAAACCTATACCCAGGATGTTGTAAGATAAACCTTTCAAATTGCGAGTTGTTTTTGAATAGTTTTCCTCTATAGCCAACTGTAGATCCCTGAGAGAATCCCAGCATTGCCTGCTATTTTTTGAATGGTATTGACATAAAAAACGAAGAAAATGAGCATATACTGTAGGAGGAATCATGTGTAGTTTTTCTGTTTTCAATTCATTTGGTTGTAACTTAGAGTTTTCTATAAACACCAAATCTAATAGTAAAAATTTCCATAACTTAACAATAGGCATATTTCTAAATAAATGTAGATTAAAGAGTTCATAATGAATATCTGAAAACTGCATTCCTTGTTGAAGTTTTTCTGGTGTACATTTCAACAGAGAATACTGGATAATTTGAAGTGCTGTATTGTATTGTTTTCTTTTGCAGAAAAACGAAGCTAACATCAGCCATCTAGATACAACGTCATGACTTGTGTAGAAGAAGAGTACTTATATAAGTATTATACCCTTTATAATTAGATTTATTACAGGACATATCCTCCAATGGCAGAAATCGCTCACTTTTGCAACACAATTTTGACAAATAGTATGTGTACAGGTTTTTGATTTTTGAACTCTTACTAGACAAGACCTTGTATATCACTTTTTCCAAAAGAAAATAAACAGTAGAACCTAAAAAGTCGCAAAAAAACATATGTGAGTTTAATAATCTTTCAACACTCTTGGCATATAAATAATTTGTTTCTTTGCTTTTACCCGATGCCAATGCATTCAAATTCGAAATTTGGTCCGACAATAAGACACATTGCCAACCATAACTGTTTAGAATATATAACTTATTTAAAAGTGTTTCCTGTGCTTGTCCTCGTATCTTATTCTCAAATAAATTATTCTCAGGCATGAAATAATGCGGACAAACTTTATACTCAACACAATATATAAGCCTCCTGAAACATCTCATGTAACAAGATATCAAGTTTTCAGGTTTCCATATTGATAAAGGCAATTCCTCGCATATCCAAAACAAAATTGTTTTCATGAAATATGAACAAAGCAATTCTTTACAATCTACGTCTAAAGCTATAACGTCTTTTAGAAGAATTTTCATAAGTGCATAACATAGTAATTGTGTATGTGTAAATGAATAGATAAGTAGTTTTTCGGCAACGGAAAATGATATTCGCCATTCTAATTCTTCTTGTGTAGATCCTTTCACACCTATAGGTACAAATAGAACACCGTGTTTTACAATGGCCTGTTTAATATCGTATATCGGCCAAGAATTATTTGATCGTGTAACCCATTTTTTTGCTTGTGTTATCCATAATTTACTGTGTAAGCAGTGTGCAATATCATATAATCCATCTTCATCGGACACACATGGCCCATGTACAGTCGACAAAAATTCGTTTGAAAATCTTTGTTTAAATGAAAGATTTGAAAAATAGAAATCGCTACCGATATCAATACAGTCTTTTAAGATACTCCGGTCATTACTGTGCACTAGACGTAACTTAGTGAAACCTCTCTGTGTATCTTTCAGTTCCATTGTGAAATGTATTTTACCAGTGTTGAAATAAATGTGTGTGTCTTCACGGACCTCAATATTTTTCAATACCGCCATTAAATCTAAATCACTATCACGCATTCTTAGTCCCTCTCCGAAACTTCCACTGGTTATCATTATCCTCCTCTTGTTGCTCTGTAAATTGTCTCTGATATTGTTCAGCATTCTCAATGTTCTTACATGTTTCTCTGTTCCAACAACGTTCTGACAGAGATAATGATACAAAGCTATTGATTCATTTTTGATTGCTGATTCTGTAAACAGAAATAAGATTGATTGATTTTTTAATCTTATCTGGCAAAACAACTTAACATTTTGGATAGAAAATAACTAGTGATACAAACTCATGCTTTATTTTTGTCATACATCGTGTGTTGGTCTAATGTTTCACTATATAGTTTTAAGTAAAGATATTAATGGCTGCATTCCCTAATTCAACAAAAATCTGAGTCATCGTTAAACCACTTATTTTAGATTGATTTCTTATCTGGTTAAAATACTTTCTTATATAGTACGTGCTGGTTGAGTTTCTACTCAAGGGAAACTATTCTTGTAAAAATAAGAATCTAAATAGGAACATAACTTGAAAGTACTTGTGTACCCGTATGTTCGCACCCCAACCCCTTTTCTCCAGTGATCAATCTTGCCTTTTACACAAGAAAAACTTGATGAAAATAGCTTTAATCATCAATGATATTTGCACCGGTTTTTAAAAAATCGACTTTCATTTTTATTATCCATGTCTATGAATATAGATTGTTTTACACGTGACCTGTATTTCACATTGCGTCTAAATATAGGGCAAATCGGCTTTTACTTCCCTCCAACAAAGTATATATCAAAAGACAGAATACTGCAAATAATTAACTTTTATTGTCAAGAATACAGTAATTGATGATTTCGTGGCCGATAATAACCTAAGACAATTCAACAAGAAGGATATCTTTGGCCACCCATTTATTTTTTGTTTTCTATGCTGTCGACGATTTTCGGTCGAAATATCATATGAGTCATGACCTCTGAGTATGTATAGACCGGGGAATTCCAAAAAATCGACATGTGAAAACGACGTCAAAACTTGCATGTGACCTGGAGATTCTTATAAATATTTTTAAAAATGGCCACCGTGTGATACGGGAGAGATAAATATTATTTTTCACATAAGATTCTAGCTGCAACACAAATTTATTGGTCCAGGAATGCGGAATCGGGTTTTTCCCTTTTGGGCGGTATTTGTGTTAACCGATTTCATATTGGTTGTCTAATTATGAAAATAGGCCGAAGATTTCCGACGGCCAGAAATAGAATACAGCACTCTAGATTAAGAATTGATTGAAGAATTGACTTGGTCTAGTATGGTTCAGTCTTGGTTGAATACGATTCAGATTTTTAAATTTTTAAAAAACAGTCGAGTACAGGTTCAGACAAAAGTCGATTAATGTCGATTAAAATTCAGACCAATTCAGAATGTTCCAATAAAACCCAGTACACTCGAATTCAAATACTTTCCATTTCAGATTTTTTCAGCTTTTACTGGTTTGTTGTTTATTAAAAAAAGTGTTGGTTACAGATTGTTCAATAATGATACAATAAAATCAAGACGTCCGTTTTGGAAAAACTGAAGACAGTCCTTTATTAAGAGAAAATCAAATACGGGTGAACATATTTCTATATATTTTTTTGTTGTCTCAATTTGTTTTCTACTTCTTGTAATCCCCAAGGTTAAAGTGTAGTTAACACACAGCTAATCAAAAATTCTCCAGCATCTGTCATTCTGCAAAGTCATTGCAAAATGCTAAGTATATATAAACATATGTTTTATTGTCAAAAAGGTGTATGCTAAAGATTGTTGTAAAGGAACAATGGATGGTGTGGAAACCAATGGGATGAAAGGAGAAAATGTGTTTTTACCTGCCATTTTGGTCGAGCATGATTCAGATTTTTAAAATGGTTAAGAAGAGGTATAGTACATGTTCAGATTGCAGTCGAGTAATTCGGGTAAAAAATCAGACCAATTAAGAGGGGTCATTACAAACCAGTAGAGTAGAAATACTGTCCATTTTAGCCTTTTTTCAGCTTTTAAACGTTTGTATTGTATAATTTTATTAGTTACTGAACATTTTTGGTTGTATTTTGCGGCAAAGGTTTTACTGAAACTTTAGCATGTTAAGGGCTCTAAAAACTACATAGTCTTTGTGTTAAGACATAACATATAATTCCAAAATTTGGTAATTTTGTAGCCGAAAATGTACCGTTAGATGAAATTTGTGTTACTTAAGAACTAAACAGTGGCCTTTGTTTTAAAATAATACGATACAAAGAAAATTCAAGAAGTCCATAGTTGCAAAACTGAAACCTGTGCTCTACTAAAATAAAATTTAAAATAGGTTAACATAATTGTCTTGTGTTGTTTAATTGGTTTTGTACTTTTAATTCCTACGGTTTTAAGTATACTTAACAATCAAATATACTTCAAAAAGTTCACAAACACTTGTTATGCAGACAAAATTTCTGACGAACACTTAACTTACGAAAGTCCAGGATCCTAAAATAGCTGCTTGTTGTAGAATGATATACCCAGATATTATTTGTTTTCTTTTCTTTATCTTCTTTCGACCTACATTTTCTTTAATTCCGATTAGAGTATTTCTTACATCAAGTATATTAAATGTATGCTGACGAGCATTCAGTAAAGTCATTAAAAAATGCTGAGCATATACATGTAACGCTGTGTTTTATTGTTTTCATAAAAATGGAATGCAGATGAGAATTTGCGTTATTACCTGCCATTTTGCTTGTAAACTCTTACTTCATCATGTTTATTTACCCTGAATTGGTGACGGGGACTTCCCCAAATCTACTTTCGTTTCTATTTAAAGTTCATATGCAATTGATATTTTAAAAATATATCACCTTACAAATACACTTTAACTTTAATTAAGTGATATGAGACAATATCTGTAAAAGTCTAATTTTTGGCAATGGAAAAAACCAACAAAAAATGTCTTTTGAATTTAATGATTCAAAACAAAGAACAAACATAGCAGATGCAAGAACTGTTGTCTGTAATTCCAAAAAATAATATATATGGTAATTATGGCAATATAAAAAATGATACCAAAAATCCAAGTTCTTTCCTGTTACCGAAGTAAGTTAATTTTAAAACGTTTTTTATGTGAATAAAAAAATGAATTACTTATACTATTTGCTGTTTACTAGTACGTCTCATAATAATCTATCAAATACCAATGTATTTATCAAGTATTTCAATGCACAAGTCTTAGAAATTTGTATTTAAGTTAGATGCAGTGCCTAAGTTCTGAAAATCATATTTTAGATTGTGGTTTTATTCATCAAGAAACTTTATTTGATAGAAAGAAAAAAAATACAGTTTGTTTCCTGTAGAAATAATATACCTTTATTGTTCACACCCTTTTTGTAATAGATAAGTGTCACAGATTTAAGAAATTAAGTAAAATATAGTCAGTAACATGAAAGAATCTTCAGTAACAGGATAAACGTAGGTAACAGGAAAGAACTTTATTTCAAAACAGTTCCTTTGTTTGTAAAGTTAAAGCAAAAATAACATCATTACACATTGGTCAAATTGAAAACAACAAACATAGTCATTGCGAAACAAATATGTCATTTTTGAAATTCCATCGTGTACTGGTTTGTCCCATCAATCAGTCTTGGAGGAGGTATGTTCAAAACTTCTGCATTCAAAGGATACCAACAAAGGCCTGTTTCCTCGGCCAAAAGTACAAACTGCTGTTTTCGTTAACTCTTTTCATACATTGAACATTTAGTTCTTCTAAGGATTCATTTATTTTTAGGATTTTTCCAGGATAATCATCATCTTCATACTTCACTCGAACAAACTGGCCAACTGTTAATTCTTTCATAGCCACACCACTTTCATGATCAATATCATCATCTTTTCCCTGATTTGAAGACTTTTTTTCTGCTGTTTTGGTTTGGCTTCTCTCAAAGATGGTATCATTATTGATATGGATATTCTCGCTATTTTTTGTATAATACTCCTGTTCTATGTTCGTTTCAGTTTTTATCTGGTTTCTGTCAGAACTGGTATCAATATCCATTTGACTTTGTTCTATAATTTTATCGGTCTCGATAGTCATTTCCTCAAGATTTGTTTCAGATTGATTGTGTTTTGTCCTTTCTACTTCTACATGCCTGGATTCATTCTCGGTCCAATCAGTGTTCTGTAAATCAAACAGCATGTCAAAGATGTCATCGCTTTTGGCTAGATTAGTGTCGTCATTATCACACTCAATCAGCACTGGTTCACGTTCACCAGAGTCCTTGTCAACCGGTAGAATTGGCAAAAAGTGATTAGGGACCCAATGAGTTTCTACCAAATCTGACCGTGTGCTACTCCACATGATAAAGACTGAACTTGTTGCTATAGGTAAGGATCTTGGTTGGACAAGTCTATGTAAGTCTTCACGTACATTTCGGTTTCCTTTTTGTGGATAGCAGGAAAATATATTCATTTTCAGAACACTAGCCAGTCCATAAATCTGCCACATTCCCATGTATTTTTTGGGTGTTGCAATGCTCATTATCTCCTGTTGATAGATTCTTTTTATTATTTCATCATCAAGATGAATTCCGGGAATGAAAGCTT